GTTTATGTAAACTTGCAACCAATCAAAATCCTTCATGATGCTGATCAACCAATCAGATTTCCCGTCCACCAGATGGACGGGAATCCCACACTTTAGATAGGTTTTGTGTCAGGCCCTATTCTGTGATTAGGGCCTGAACTTCAGGTTAGGTCAGACATTGCGCGCGTATGTTCAACTCGCGTAAAAACCAAGCGGGTTCAACTCATCCGTTTCCGCGTGCGTAACACTCGTACGTAAACGTAAGTGTACGTGCGTAAAAAACGATCAGTAAAAAATGCACGTACACGTACGTAAAACTTTGAAACCTTCTATTTTTTAAATATTTTCCAAATATATAAGTTAAGAAATGCATACTAAAACTTGCGAAACACTAAATTCTGTTGCTTTATTTATTTGCTTATTTTATAAGTAACATTTAAACGGATTTAAAGTTTTACGTGCGTATACGTGCGTATGAAAAACGCAACAGTGGAAATCAGCCTTTAACAATAATTATGGCAATTAATGCGAAAATCTTTCTTCAGAAAGAGAATTTCAAATCCTGTCCAATCCTAGCCCAGTGTTTACTACAAGTCATAAACCAATATAAGAAAGCAAACAAATATTTAAATGATCAATTATTGCCAACAGCACCACGGTATTAGCAAGCGAGGTTTTTTATTTTTAAAGGTGGCACATTCAGATCAAAGATGACAAGTTATGGAAACTTTCGTAATGGTGTAATCTGGGCCAGTGACAAGTGTCTTGGAAGTTGTCCAGTAACTTACAACGGTCAGTACAAAACTACAACAGGTTTTGAACAGCACAGTTGCAGCAGCGATATACAGAATAATAGCCACATTGGGTTTTGGTGTGATTGGCTTCATGGTGATGGTGCTGTGATGATGATTGGTGGAGGAGGGAACGATTGTAAAAGAGCAGACCATGGTATTGGGATAACTGGACAAAATGAAGCAAAGTTTGGTGGTCGGGCAAATTATTTTGATTTTGGCAAAAATGCTGTCGCCACTCCTCAAAAGACCTACTCACTCAATTTATGGGTTCGTTGAGAGGGGTACGTGTACAATGTATGCAATATGTCATCTCCCGTTTATGTGTAAAAATAGTTATGAGTGACGTAGTTACTGTAAATTAGTCGTAGAAGAACATGACAATGGGTAAATAAAAATTTTCCAGCAATATATCATGATCAAAAGAGGGGAGTAGGAAGCAGGGGGTTTGCCCCCAATATTTCATAGGAGGTAGCTTTATAAAAATAGTAAAATATCATTGCGAAATTTTCGAAACTAAAAGTATTTGAAACCGTATATACATGTATCTACAATAGGCTTAACGAAAGTGGCAGTGAAGAGTCTGGAAATGCCATGTCGGGCAATGTAGAAACTCCAAATTTTCAAATTTTTTGCAGCTTGGCACCAACGGCATTTTGATTTTTCCATCGTACATCTTGCATAGGTATTGGACATGTATGACCTCAACCGTTCGGGAAGTACGAAAAAATATCCAACCTCGGTTTTGCTGTATATTGACGTCGCTATTGCTCGGTAAATACAGCAAGACCTCGGTTGGATAATCTCTCGTACTGCCCTCACTCTCGGTCAGTAAGTTATTAGTATATTATAATAAAAAATGCCATAAAATATATATTTAAAAATAAATGACTATTTGATAGTGTGTGTTATCCTTTTATTCCTCTTTTGTTAGGCTAAAATTTTCCCAGACTTTACACTCGATGGCAAGGCCTTTCAGAGGGGGGCAATGGGGGCAATTTTTCCCGGGTCCCAGGTGTAAGAGGGCCCCCGAAATTTGCAAAACAATGAAATAATTTCGAACGTTTTTTGATATAAATAATGGTATTAGAAAAAAATTTTCTAAACCGAAATTTTACATTTATTGATCCAAAAAAAAAGGGTTTGATCCATGATGTGAGTGGATTTTGTAGGGAAAAATTTTTATAGTTTAACTGGTATTTGACCAGAAAATTATTTTAACCCTATTTTGCAATGTCCGGAAAAAATTTACCCCCCCCCCCCC